GAACCTGGGTCCTCACACACACACTAGGCAAGCTCTCTACTGCCGAGTCCAGAAAGCAGCTCTGAAATGGTCGGCATGGTTTCTGTCCTCCTGTTTTTCTCCACCTTTCTCTGTCCAGACCATCCAGCCTCTTCCGGTCTGCCCGTTACAACACCCACCCTCTCTACAGAGTTAAGTTGTGGCCCGATTTTAGGATCAAATAAAGCCAATGAGAAGCATTCCACTAGGTTGTTTCAATGTTGACCTTTCACAGGATATATTGCTATGCCATGCATAATATTTACACATATGAGCACATGTAAATGCATATGTATGTGTATAGAGAGATATATACCTGTAATCACTACAAGTGGGAAAAGTCAAATGGCATTGAGACTAGAAATATGAAACCTAGTGGCATATCGTTTTATTGAAAGCCTTGTGTATTAAAAAAATCACACCTTTTTCAGATTTCTTTAGAACATCACAGCCACTTCAAAATTATCTAGGAGGTGAAATTTGCTAGATTTTTAGCTTCCAATCATTGTTGAGTTTGCCAAATGACAATAAGGAAAAACATTTCAAAGGGAATGATCTGGGACCTTTGGATGTATTCTGGGAAACACTCAGAATCTAATTACAGCCAGCCAGCACTTCATGACAGAGACGATTCTGAGCAATGTATCATGGGATGGTTTTGTTGTCACTGTGCAAACACTGGAGTAGGCACTTACAAACAAATGACTTAGATACCATGAGGCAATGTCAGCCCACGGGATCCCACAGTGCATGTGGTCCTTCACGGCCCCTGCAGTACCATGGACCCAAGACTGAGTCCAAATGGAGCAAACCCAAGCCCTCAGGAGTCATTGCTGTGTAAGTCCGACCCTGACCAACAGGAAACAAGTCTTCTGAAAAAGAAAGACAGAATAAAAACAAAGGAGTGCTATCAAGAGGCAGAAAGGGGCAGAGGCAGTGGACCTGAGGTACAGGGACAGTGTGGGGAGAACAGAACACAGCCAGTGGACCTGAGGTGGACCTGAGGTACAGGGACAGTGTGGGGAGAACAGGACAGGGCCAGGGGACCTGAGGTACAGGGACAGTATTCCCAGCCACTCCCTGCTCGGATGACTTGCTGAAAGCTTCATTTGTTTTAAGGAATATTTACTCCTATTTAATTGATTTAAATATTATTTGATTTATAATTTACAATACGCTGTTGCTCCAACTAGCCCAGAAACAAGCTCCCAACTGTGTGCTCTGGTTAATGAATGGATGACACTCCTTATTGGCAGTTGATATTCTGGAGGGAAATAGTCACCAAGCTTTGACAAAAGCCAAAATGAACTGAAACAGAAGACGGTCTTCTCTTTTAACTCCCTCTTAAATAAAGGAGAAAGATTTTTTTTTTAATTTCCTAATTTGTCTCACCTTCTCACCCCATATGAACTACTTGCCTCCCCAATACTTGGAAATCCAACGTCGTATGTATTTGTGGAGCTCACGCTCGTTACAGAACTGGGAGGGCAGAATGGTAGTCATCAGTGAGCCAAACGGAGGGGAAAACAGGAAAAATAAGTAGAAGAGACCTGCAAACGCTGCTGAAGGGGAATACAATGGAGCGTAGCCGCGTGAGCGGCTCTGCTGTTCCCCCAGCAGGGATACAGGCTCTGGGCGTCCACACACACTTCTGTACGTTAGCTCTCTAATCCTCATGGACCTTAGAACTTTCACTTCCCAAATTATGGGTGTTCTGATGTGATGGTTAAAGTCTACCCTCAGCACACTTTCAGGGTGTCCTGAAGAAGTGACTCGTGTCCCTTTGGAATCTGAAATACTAACTCAAAACAAAAGGAAAGACAACACTTACTTAATTTTTCTCATTACAGATTTACTCAGCCATTTGACACGAAAAGCTCCCTATGTGGTCTACCAATGTAGAATTTTCTGCTATTTTAATATACTTGACTATTGTTAATTTTCTTGTTTAAATTTTTAAATAATCTTTAATTTTGCAAACTTTATTATTAAAAAAAAATCTTGCAAAAAAAAAAAACCCACACCAAAATTAACCAGACCCAAAGACTATGTAGCTCAGTGAACTTCTCTGCAGTTAGAGTAGCCATTTGGAACAGAAGCTGTCAAGCTTCATAGTGGATATTTTTTGGTGTGTGGGGCGGTTCGAGACAGGGTTTCTCTGTGTAACTTTGGTCCCTTTCCTGGAACTCACTCTGTAGCCCAGGCTGGCCTCGAACTCACAGGGATTCGCCTGCCTCTGCCTCCCAAGTGCTGGGATTAAAGGTGTGCGATACCACCGCCTGGTATGTGGATTTTATCCTTTCTTTATCAAATATATTTTTACGTACTTACCCACTGCCAAAACAAAACAAAAACAAAAAAACCAAAAACAAAAAAAACCCAAATCTATGACAGGGTTAGTAACAGAGGAACAATTCACTTACATGCATTCTCATAACTCATGTCCATCAACTGCCTTTAGAGCTTCCTCATCTCCCACTGACTTATGACTCCTCTGCAAATGTACACAGTTCATAGACAAGAGCACAGGAAACAAACAAACAAACAGGCAATTTCAATGCTTTGCCAAGTCGCAAGTTAAGCAGATGGTGAATGTCTCCTTCCAACGTGACATTCAACCATTTTAAAGAGGCAAAATTACTGACTTTTAGCCTCTCACACACTCATCTTTTTAAAGCCTTTTATTTTTTTTTCAGAAAACATCATCCATTTAAGGTACATAAATTAATGAGATTTAACAGATGTATTCATTCTTAAAACTGACCCAGCAACCAAGACAGACAATTTCCACCAACCCTCAAGGATAATTTATTGTTGTTGTTGTTGTTGTTATTATTTTATTCTATTTTCCCCCTACTTATAGCCCAAGGCAGAATTTTTGCTTTGATCATTCCTGAGATGTTCACTCCTGATAGTTCATATATTTCTTAACTATATAGTTGGGTCCATATAGCATGTACCCTTTTGTGTCTCCTTTAACATGATTCTGGGACTCATCCTTGATGTTTTCTATATTAGCAGCTTATTCTTTTGCATTGCTTAGTGGTACTCCATTGAATGGATATACCACATTTTCCTCTATTATCTGCTGAAAGACGTTCCTGTCATTTTTTAGTTTTTAGTTATTGTAAATAAAATTGCTGTGAACATATGTGTATAACCTTTTATACTATTATATTTTCATTTCTCCTTGGGTAAATTTTTCTTGGTTGTACTGTATGTTAGATGTGTGTGAGTTTTGGTTTTTTTTTTTTTTTAAGAAATTTACAAAGTTGTCATACTATTTTATTTGGCTACCAGCAACATTGCATTCCAAAATTGCTTCATATCCTTGCCAATACTTAATCAACATTTTCAGTCCTTTGAATTTTATCCATCCTGGCAAGCATGTGGGGGCTCCTCTTTACATTTCCGTGGTTGCCAGTGGTATTGAACATATTTTCACATACTTGCTAGACACTAGTGCATCTTTTTAAAGTGTGTGTTGGGTTCTTGTATTTGCTTGGAATAGAACTGTTAGTTTTCTCAGACTTGGAAGAGTTCTCTGTCTATTCTATGCATGAATTCTTTATAAGGTATATACTGTGGTGTTAAGGATATGTCCACAAACTGATGGACAATCAAAAATATGTCAATGTCATTTCAGAGAATAAGACATATAAAGATTGTAGTTGCTGTCACCCTCCCCTCTGCCCACCCTCCCTCCCTCCCTCCCCCTCACTCTAGGAGAAGCCCAAAAGGCAGAGTCATGAGCACAGGGAGGCAGGAGGCAGGAGGCCTGTGGAGAGGCCCATGTGTCTAGGAGCTGGAGTGGATTTCCAGCAGCCACAAAGAGGGCTGTGAGAGAGGCTGCCTGTGGAGCTGTGACCTGGCCTCAGCCAGCAGCTCAGCTTCAACCTCTGGACCCGGGTACCTAGAAACAGACAACAGATGTTGGTTGTTTAAGTTGTTAAGTCTTATTTTGAGGGTAACATCACAGGGGTCGACAGCACAACACTGCTGTGAGGCTCCATCCTCGGTTCTTTTTATTGGTGAACTCTTCCTCTGTCTCAAGAGTATGATGTTCTCCGAGATGCCTTGGTCACTGTTGCATCATCGATTCTTGGAATCGGTGACAGGAAGAGATGGCTCAGCGGTTAAGAGCACTGACCCGGGTTCAATTCCCAGGACCCACGTGGCGGCTCACAGCTGTCTGTAACTCCTGTTCCAGGGGAGTTAACTCTTCCCTTAGAGCCTCACATCTCAGTGCAGCTGCTGCCCTTCCACCAAGACGCCCCCCTGGAAGGTCATGCATCTACAGATAACTGAGGAAATGCTGAGCTACTAAAAATGTTGTTCTTGTTGTCTGCTCCCCTCACAACACAAACTCAACTGGAGGGAATTACAGCAACACCCAGGAGCTTTCCTTCCTCCCCCACCCCCTCTGTACCAGGAACCAAACCCGGGGCCTCCCACACACTAGGCAAGCGCTCTGTCGCTGAGGTCTGTATCCAGCCCTCTTCCTACTGCAGGCTTTGAGGCAAGGTCTCCCTGAGTTGCCTAAACTGGCCTTGAATTGACTGTTGTCCAGAAAAGCCTTGCACTTGTGACCCCTCCTTCCTCAGTTTACAGGCCTGCCCCAGGCCTGACTCCACTGTTTACATGAAGTTCTGGACATGTGGGTCTGAGTGGACAGAATGTTAGGCTAGAAACCACCTGGACTCAGGCGACTCCACCTCTACTTCCTGGGTGCCACAGTGACCTGGGACCTTGCACATAAAGAGCCTCTAAAGACCACTACGTTTTTGTTTTTTTTTTTTTTAAATCCAGGAAGACATTCCCCTTTATTTTCATTTATCATGAATATGACAGAATCCTGAAGAAACTAAGACAGCCGCTATCGGAACAGAGCTCTCAGAGGGTTCACAAAGCAGATTTGGTTTTTCATTTCAGCAACATAGTTCAATCCCCAACTCTCTCTCCCCCCCCCCCCACCGTGTGTGTGTGTGTGTGTGTGTGTGTGTGTGTGTGTGTGTGTGTGTGTGTGTTTTAAGTTATAACATGATGTCCTTTCAAAAACAAACTGCAAACTATGAGTTGATTTCTAACTGTGGCTTTACCCTAATATGTGCTGTTGTTAATGACCCTTACCACACCCCAGTGGTGAGAGTTACCCAGCCCATCAGCTTCCCTGGAGCACTCCCCTGACCAGAGCCTGCAATGGCTGTCCTGGCTGTAGCTCCTGGCAGACAGGCACCAGCCAGGCTCACTCTTCTTCTCTTTGGTTCTGAGCATGTCTGGGTAGACTGTGGCTCCGGCTTTGACCATCAGGAGAAAGAAGTGTTCAGTGCTCTGACCACGGTTCCTTTTCGGTTCCCCACAGAACCTGACCCACACTAAACACACCTGCTTCTTAGTTCTTCCACTGGAAGAGCAAGAGGGCTGGGTGAAGACCAGAGACCCAAGAGTGAGACAGGGTCCCAGTCTGCCACTCGCCCACTAATAGCAGTGAGTAACTCACCCAGGGCCCAGAGCGTTCCTCATTTCTAAATGAGGAAGGAAGGCTGCACCCAGTTAATTCTGTGAGAGCTAAAATTCCATCTGTGTATTCTATCCAGCCATTTACCCTCAGACGTTCTTCTTAGAATGCTCACAGCACAGTGGATGTGATTGCAGTTTCGTCTCTGGCTCTGCTTCCTGCTTCTCCCACTGCAAATGTCGACACCATTTTCCTTGAAAGCTGGAGTGGTTGGGATGAGGATGCCCCGCCCCCACCCCATATGCGTAGATGGCAGAACATTTGCTCCGCAGTCAGTGGTGCTGTTTCAGGAAGTGAGAAGGTGCAACCAGGCTGGCGGAAGCGCTGGGGGCAGGCTTGGAGGAGGTAACAGCCTTACCTACTTCACGTTCACCGTCTCTGCATCCTGCTTGTGATGAAGGATGTGATTTCTCAGCTCCCTGCTCTAGCCACAGTGCCTGCCTGATGCCATGTTGTGATGGATTCTTATCTGTCTGGAACACAATGCTGGTGTTTTAGAACAGCAACGGGAAGGTAACTAATACACACACCTACTGCACGGCATGCCCTAGCCAAGCAATTTCTTTGTATTGTCCCATTTAATACCCACTGAAGGAATGCCAATCAGAACTCGTGGAGGTGAGGTATAGAGACCAATATGGGCTTAAGGTAGAAAAGACCAATTATTAGATGCTGATTTATTGATTTATTTAGTGACTTACCTAAAGCACTGCTTGTACCGGCCCTTTCTAAGCATGGCTTCACTTGCCACCACCTGGAACGGAACGACCTGGAGAAACAGCTTTAACAATGGACTGGGTTGTTGCCCTTAACAACCTGCTGACTGACACATGCTTCTCTAGAACCTTGCTTGCTTGCCCACCCCACCTTATGGTTTTAGAGTATAAAGCCAGGATGCAAATTGAACCTGATCCCGAGGCCTTCCAGAAGGTGTCCTGGCTTCAGTCCACTGGTGGCATCTCCTCTCTTCCACGCTCATTCATGTTGGACTGCAGATTCCAGAGAGATTCACGCAAGAGGCTGAGCTAGCAAACAGCCACAGTGTTAGCAGTAAGACTGTGAAGCCACTTTTGAGGCTCTCCAGGCAAGGATGGTGCATAAAATGAGACTGAGCCAGGTGGCCGCTGCTGCTCTGGGAAGTGGCTAGGCCCAGCCTATGCCACTAACATTCTCAATACTGGACACTGGACACCACCACCGCTACCCTGAAAACGCCATCAATTCACCACTATCTCCTGTGAGAAGTCCCTTGTGACCACAAGTCTACAGAAGGTGCCTGTCCCTTTACAAGAGAGACTAGGGAGTAAATGCTTGAATGTTATATAGAAAGCATTCCTGGAATGGGGGAGGGAGAATCCACCCACAGACAAACCAGAAAGACTGATTTCCCCGATGAATATTCCACTGTTATGATCCCTGTTTTCCAAACCGGGGACTGAAAAGGAAAGACAGAGCTGGAGCAGGCCCTTCCCTCCTGGGCGTCAGGAACCTTTGGTAGGGAAGGGAATGTGCAGATCTAAGAGCCAAGAGTCTGCCCAAGGTTGGTAACAGGGTGAGCAGAGGAGGACTCACCCACAGGAGACAGACACCCAGCAACTGGCTTCTAGGGAACCACTGCATCCTGAGGGTCTCAGCAGAAACCTTCATGCCCTTCTGTCAAATTCTGGGCTTTCATCGATTTCTACAAGTCACTCTGATTATTCCAAACCCATATGTATAACCTGCTCCATCTCGCTGGTGCGGAGTGTGTGCTCACTTATCCTTAGTCATGCGATTCTGATGGAAAACACATGTCCTGGCCTCCACCCCTAACCAAACTGTTCATTGCAATGATCGTAACAATTTGCCTCAAAGAAGCAATAGAAGGAGCTGAGCTTCCTCCTGTAGCCAGAAACCTTCCCAATGCCGAGTTCTCCCAACACAGACAGCCAATTTACCACAGTGCCTGCACCGCCGCCAGCAAAAAGCCTCCTGGCCAGTTGGAGTTACCGTCTTTGTCTGAGGAGACGGACGACCAAAAGCGTGACAAAAGAGGTCTCTGAGCACAGGGACTTTTTCTATCCCATCCAAAAAGTCTCCCCATTTGGTGAGAAAGATATGGCACATAGGACAGACACTAAAAGATTTTTAGTAGAAAATTACCTATCCTGGATGATTAAGAATGGAGGCTAGGTTTCTGTTGTTGGTTGATGGGTGTGTTTGCTGTGTGTGGTGGCAGCTGACTGGTTGTTGTTTGGTTTAGTTTTGAATTTAGAATCTTGCATGTGCTGGGTAAGTGCTTTACACAAACTGCATCCTCAGAAGGTTGGTGTATTTTAAGATCAAGTATCTTATTTACCTATATAAAGTTGTACTTATGGAACCAGTACTATGTTCAATGAATGACCACTAATGATAATGAATTAAGCAAGAACACTTTTAGATGTAGATACTTTGGTATTATTATTTCAAGATTATTTGTTTGTAGGTATTTTAAATAATATGATAGCCTAGAAAGGTAATATTTCTCTTGTCATCTTGATTAGCTTTTTTTGTTTGTTTGTTTTTCAAGACAGGGTTTCTCTGTGTAGTTTTGGTGCCTGTCCTGGACTCGCTCTGTAGACCAGGCTGGCCTCGAACTTAGAGAGATCTGCCTGGCTCTGTCTACTGAGTGCTGGGATTAAAGGAGTGCTCCACTGCCGCCCAGCTGATTGGCTTAATTTATTTGTCCATTTTTATTATTACAATGAAGTAGCTGAGGCGGGTTATTTTACAGCGTAAACAGGTGTGTTTCAGCTCATATTTTTGATCTAAGATCTAGGGCTGTACCTCGTGATGGTATTCTTTCTGACAGAGTTCTGAGGAAGCAGGGAGCACCACGTGTCAAGAGGAACCTGTGCACACTCGACTTCTTAGAAAACTGCCTGGATTCACCCATGGAGCCTCTACTCTCAAGGCTTTGTCTAAAACTAATCACTTCCCAAATGACCCACCCTTAAACACCACAGTCAGACCAATGTTTCACCCTCTTAAGCCCTCAGTGGGGACAGAGTATCAACCTAGGAACCCTGGGAGGGGGCAAGTATACCCAAACCATATTCAAGCCACAGTAGCTCCATGTGTTGTAATGTTTTGTTTGTGCTCTAACAAATAAAGCTTGCCTGGAGACCAGAGCGCAGAGCTAGCCACTAGTTAACCACAGAGGCCAGGCAATGGTAGCACACACCTTTAATCCCAGCACTAGGGAGGAGGAAACAGGAAGTGATATGGCTGAGTGGAGAGAGGAATATAAGGCGGGTGGAGACAGGAGCTCGGCCCCCTTTTCAGGAGTCGGAGAGGTAGGAAGTCTCTCTGGTGGCTGGTTGCTCTGCTTCTCTGATCTTTCAGCCTTCACCCTAACATCTGACTCCGGGTCTTTAATATTAAGACCAATTAGAATTCGCGTTCCATCCATGGGCTCAAGTTGGTCAGTTTAGAGAAGAGCGGCTGCGGCCGGCCAACAGAGGACCTGAGGCCTGCTGGGGAGCCCATCTCTCTAAGAAGCAAAGGAACTGAATTTACAAGTCTCAACTGGACATCACACGATGCTGTTCATGCAAACACGAGAGGTGTGTAGATTACCTGTCCTCAGGCTCTACTCAGAGCTCTGGCGGCCCCCTCCAGGGTTTTTACACTGTTTTAAATAACAGCCATATGAATGGGGCGAATGAGAAAATATTATGCAAAATCACTCACGACTGAAACAAGCCACTGTGATAGAGAAGCACCCAACCAGAAGCCATTATGGCTACTCTTCCCCGGCTTTGTTTTGAAATGCCATTTCAGTAGCCTCGGGATCCTTCCAGGAATATATCGCCACCTGCTCCATGCTCTTCCAAATTCTGTTCAGCCTTCAAAGCTCAACAAAGCCCTCCTCCAAGAGTACCTCCCTGGCCACCCTGGTCCTTGAAACCTCTTCATCCGAAATAGAGGCAGCACTTGTAAGATGTGAAGAGTGAGGCCTTTAATGGGAGACAAATCCAAGTCTGGGTCAGAATGTGCTCTTTGCCTGGTTTTCAGCTCTGAGTGGTACTTATCCATGAGGTGAGATGACATGGTTAGCTCATTCCATTTATTGTCTACCTCAGAGATGGCCAGATTATGTTTTGGGTACACCCATGGGCTAATATTGGTCATAATTAATCTCTTGGCATTCAGGGAAGCCAGGAAGAGCTTCAGGCAACTGGAGTGGACAGCATCTGCCAGGCTCCCCACATTGTCATGAGACTGCTTGGCTCCTGTGAAAAATGGATGATGAGCAGTCTCTAGCACTTGCCAGCCAAGTCTGGCATGCTAAGCACAGTGGGAAAGTGTCTACCACCAAATCAGCTGTGCCAGCAACCAGTTGAGAGTGAGCCTCTGCTCACCCACACGTGAGACCGGGAGCCCAACACGGCACAGAGCTCATGGTTGACCTGGTTATAGCAGTGGATGTGGGAATTACAGCAGGCCAAACAGGAGCATCTATCAGGTATAAACTTCTGTCTTTGCCTATTTTGAACATTTTGTTCACTTAGGCTAATGCTACCTTTTAACAATATCCAACAGACTTACATAAGATGAAAATAAAAACAAAAAAAACATATGAAGGCGTATGCCTCCCAAAATGGCAGAGTGGGAGGCTACACGTATCCATACTTCCTCCAAAGCAGCTACTGAGCTGGCACGAACTATCAGAACCTACAGTTTGGAGTACCTCAGGCTTGTCAGACGTTTACAGCATCCAGTGACATGGCTGATGAGAGAAGGGCTAGTGAATTCCAATGAACTTCAGCATGTGTACACCAACTACCACCCCCCATCCGCCAGGCCAGCAGAAGGAAGCCATCCATACTCGGCCCACCATTCCAGGATAGCTTGCTGGTGCTTCCAGGAAGAAGGAAACAGGACTTGAGCAACGTTGTGAATCAGCAAAACTTAACAGAGACTCATGGAACACTATGCAACAACAGCAGAACAGATATTCTTTTCAAATGCACACGGAACATTCTCTGAGATGCCAAAATTCGATGCCAATAACCATCGCCAGTGGATTTGTAAATTACACCATACAATTGAATCATATCACTGAAGGAAGATAGGGATCCATGACCGAAGGAAATTAGATAATGTACCACTATGCAGAAATTAATTTACTACTGTTAAACAGCCAACGAGAAAAAAACAGAAATCACTGGAAAAATATAAAATATGTTGAGGTGATGAAAAAAGGACATTAGAGACCAAAACTTATGGGGAATTGCTAAAACGGTGATTACAGGAAAATGAACTTGCTTTGCAAAAGAATTATCACAAACCAGTGACTTGTTTTTATATTTTAAGGAACTGACAAAAAGAATAACAGCCGGGCAGTGGTGGCGCACGCCTTTAATCCCAGCACTCGGGAGGCAGAGGCAGGCGGATCTCTGTGAGTTCGAGGCCAGCCTGGTCTACAGAGCGAGATCCAGGAAAGGTGCAAAGCTAAACAGAGAAACCCTGTCTCGAAAAACCAAAAAAAAAATAATAAAAAAAATAAGAATAACAAACTAAACACAGAGATAAGAAGGAAGAGAAGAAAGATCAGAGCAGAGATAAATAAAATAGAGACCAGAAAAGCATCAGAAAACCAGTCATTTGTTTTTGATATAATCAATAAAGTTAGTGAAACTTCAGCGTATGAAAAAGAAAAAAGATGCTGAAACTGGACAGTCGACATGACTACTGACCTTCCAGAGACTGCAACCGTTACGAGAGCGCACTGTGGCAGCTGTCCACAGCCAAGTGATGGTCACGGTAACAACACACACTGACTCAAGACACAGACGATCTCAACAGTCACAAAGCTCTCCAAGGGAAGCTTCTGGTACATTCATCGATCAAGACGTTTTGGATATGACCCCAAAAGATAACAAGTGCTGGTGAGGATGGGCATAAAGGGGAGCATTTGGATACTGGCGAGAAGAAGGTCCATCGATGCAGCTACTGCAGAAAACTGGAGTCTCCTCAAAAAAAATTAAAAATGGAGCTACCATATGACCCCACTCCCACCCCCACTCAGGCACAGAGAGAAACAGCTCACAGTCTCATTTATATGTGGAATGTAAGAAAACCAAACTCACAGAGGCTGAGAACAGAATGTCAGTTACCAAGAGCTGGGGGTGGTAGATGGGGGGAGATGTTGGTCCAAAGGAATAAAATTTCAGTTATACAGAAAGCATCCCTTCAAGAGCTCTACAATTACCACAGTTAGTGACGACATACACGTAGGAAATGAAATCTGATGGTTCACCTAAGCCAGCTTAGATCCAAATGAACAACAGAAAAAAAGTTAGAACCCTGCGAATGCCTGCTAGTCTAGCTTCCCTGCCCCCTAAAACTAGACATTTAGAATAAAAGAAATGACTAAGCTTGCCTGATGACCTGAAGCCATGGTGGTAAGGTCATGGGCTTGATCAACTTTAAAATCCACAGGATACAGAAGGTAGAAATGAACTCATGTAAGGTTTATGTTAAGGAGAGGACGAACGTAAGAGGCAGAGGGAAGGATAAGACCTAGGTTACGTGTAAGATTGACCCTCCCATCACTTAATCAAAGAGGAAAGTGGAAAGGGGTCATGTTAGGGCTTAAAAGTTGTTCTCTGTATTCAATTAGCTTGCCTGCCCTCCTGGGCTGATGCCTGAGTTCAAAAAATTGCACAATAAACTACCTCCCTTTCACTCTGGAGTCTCCATGCTCTAATTATGAAGAAAGTATATTTGTTTCTCACATATAAAACACTTTTAAAAATCCCTGAGAGTGATAAGTATGTGAAGGTGATAAACGTCAATTAGCTTGATTGAGACATTCCATAATGTACACACATCTTAAAACACTATACAATGTGCACGGTTATTTAATTTATATTTACCTGAAATTTTAAATTTATATTTGATTTTTAATAAGGATATTTAAAAACTCTCCCAATAAAATTGACTCTGGAAAAGAATGAATTCTACCAAATATTTAAAGGAGAAATGATGCTGATCCAACTCAATTCTTTCTAACAGAAAAGGGACAAACTCCAGATACATTCTTCAAGATTAATACTACTCAACACAAAATGTAGACAAAGATACTACAAGAAAACTGAAAAGAGAAACTATTCTTAGCCATATAGATTTAAAAAAAAAAGTCTTCAAGAGTATGGATGGCCTCAATTCAATAGCACACTACACAGAAATCCTGTGATTAAAAAGAGACTTCTGAGAAATGTAGGGGTGGTAATTGATACAACATATTTTGTTAGAGGATAAGGGTAGAAACACAAGATCATCCCATAAGACACAGACACAAAATCCCACGCTGAACAAAAGTCAGTAGCTCTCTATATAAAATGCACTCAGTGATCAGGGCATGGAGTGAACTGCCTCCACAAGATGAAACTCTCAGCATGTAGGAAAAGGCAGCTAAGCCATCCTAATGGTGAAAGGCAGAGATTGCCCCCAAAGATCAGGAATAAGATAAGGATCCCAGCTCTCAACACTAACATTTACCATTCAGCATTGTACCGGAAGCCCTGGCCAAAATTATTAGGCAAGAAAAAAGAAGTTAAAGGCATCCAAATTGGAAAGGAACAGACAAAATGACTTCTGTCTGTAGATGGTTTGTTTCTACACATGGAAACCATCAAAGCCTACATCCAAAAAGAATTGCCAGGGTTTGCAAATGCAGTCCAGTCACTGGGCTCCAGTCAGCTCATTAAAGAAGTTTCTACACACCAGCAATAAAAGAATGAGAAGGAGAAATAAAGGAAATAATTCCAGGAAGGTGGGCACCAAGTCTCACCCCCAGCTGAGGAGCTATTGGCATTGGATTGCTGCTGGGGGAGGGAGAGTTGTTGTTTGATGTGAGAAGAGGTGTGAATGATGTGAGTCCTGGGATATCAACCCCACTCCAGAGCAGGCCCATACCCAGAAGTAGTGGCCTAACACAGACTGGACTCAGGAGGGGACAGAGAGAGGAGGTGGGGTGGGGTAGGGGAACGTGGGAGGAAGAACTGGGGGAGAGGTGAATGTGACTAAAAAAAAGTTAAAAAAGGAAACAGTTGCACCTACAGTAGCACCAGGCTACTTATGAATGAATCCCATCAACGATGTCAAAGCCTTATACATTGAAAACTACAAACACAGCTGAAGGAAAGGAGAAAACCTCAACTAGTAGAAAGATATCCCATGTTCATGGATTGAGATTTAACTCCAGGAAGGAAATCCTAGCCAAACTGTCCTGTAGACTTGGTGTGACCCCTGGTGAAATTCCAACGACCTCCTTTTCAGAATGAAAGTTTGATGCTCACATTCATGCGGAATTGCTGGGACCCTGAAGATCCAAAGCAATATTGTGAAAGGTAAACAAAGCTGGAGTGTGCACACTTTCCAGTTCCAAAGAGAACTCTGATGTCACGATTTGGGGGACAATGAGCACCAGCCCAAGAACAAGCACCCAAGGTCAAAGAAGAGAACTGACATCTGGAACCAAGCCAGGAGCCTTCAGCATCGACAGAGAAAGCAGCAACCTCCTCGACACATGGTGCTGAGACAGCTGAAGAGCCACAAACAAAAGACGACATTGGATGCCGTGCTGAGGGGTACTCCAGGTTAAAATTTAATTCAAAATAGATCAAGAGCCTAAACATAAGAGCACTTACTGCTCCTACACAGGATCTGAATTAGATTCCAGAGGACCCAAGGCAGTCCTCTGGTCTCCACCAGCATCGGAATGCACATGGTGCACACACATACACTCAGGCATACACATAGAAACACAACCTAAATAAATCCTTCTTAAAAGTTACTGAATACTATGTGAATTTCATTGATAAGAAAAACAAACCACTGGGCTGTGGTGGTGGCACAGGCCTTTAATCCCAGCACTCGGGAAGCAGAAGCTGGCAGGTCTCTGTGAGTTCAAGGCCAGCCTGGTCTACAGAGTGAGTTCCAGGACAGCCAAGGCTATACAGAGAAACCCTGTCTCGAAAACAACCAAAAAATAAATAAATAAATAAAAACTAAGTAAGAGAAAGAAAGAAAGAGAGACAGAGACAGAGACAGAGAGAAAGAGAGAGAGAGAGAGACCAACCCCACAACACTTCTACACATTAGAGCTTCACCATTTTTGATAAATTTTGAAGTTGTATTAAAATTGTCAGGAAAAGAAAGAGCTGCCCGCATCTTTAAATACAATTTCAATGACTGTACACATTCAATCCTGCTAGCATTCAGCTATCATTTTGTAGCACATCACTTTCCAACAGTCTTTCTCAGCAGTAGTGGCTCTCAAGACTGAAGAGAGCAGAGTTACAATGTCTTCCTTAGGGATGGCAGGGAGCCACTTCAAGTGTAACTGTAAAACATTATGTTCCGAAAAGAATTTCAGGTTTCTCCCTAAGATGTGTGAAAAGATTCTTTGGAATCTTCTCATATGATAATTAGACACTATTTAATGTTTGTTCTCGCCAATCTCACGGAGGGGTACCTCCCACCTACTGCCACGTTTGCCCCAAACTCTCCAAGTTTATTATTCCTATGTTTACCACAAAGGGGAAAATGCCAGGAAGCTGACAGTTGCCTGTACCTTAAAGTTAATTAAATATCATAACTTTTATGTTCAATCTTATCTCTCCCAAGCAAACCAGTTTGCTCAAGTCCTTCAAGGGCTCTGTTTCTTTTGAACTTTCCCTAGCCAACAATGTTGTGTAACCATAATCCTTTCAGGTTAGTGAGCACTGTCCTTGAGCTCGTCCCACAAGAGGCCACCACCATTTAGAAAGACACAGAGTTAATGTGTGACTGTCTAGAGGATCTCCAGAGATTTTTCTGGCGTCGATGCTCTTCTATCCATGTTCTTCTTCTTCTTCTCGGATCTGGGAGGACTTGAGCCTCAGGCTGCAGAGAGATAAACGGTGTTTGCTGCCCAGAGGAATGTTGCTACATGAAACCAGAGTCCTCACTCAGCACGACAACGTAAACAGGGTCACTTTCTCTGAAGTGCAAATCCAAGAGAGACAGAACAATATTCCAGATTTAAGATCTAATTGCAATGGAGTCTCTCTTTCAACACTCTCTACTCACGAAGAGAAATCAACCTACGAGGTTTATTAGCTTTTTTCTAACTATGAAACAAATGAGGATTTCCAGCTTCACCAAAATTGGAGATAGTAACCCTATCAGCATGCATCACTGTGAGAAAACCCAGGTAGGAATTTCTCCTACTTACACAGGAGAGGTTGGGGGTCGGGGTCTCTGCTGAGGCAGAGAAAGGAGAAAAGTGGGGTCAGATTTAAATACAGCTACAAATTCCTACGAAGTGAATCTGTGTGAGGTTTTAAAAGTACACTTCATTAGGCACTCTATTTACAAATTATTTTGAAAAGTACACAAAATAAGCAATGGCTCACAGAACAAGAGAAGGGGCAAACCAGGAGAGCTCACGGCCAAGCCTCAGGCTATTTTAACTTGGAGAACCAGAGGGGAAGGAGCCAGGATGTGCTGGCTCAGTCTCTCAGTTTTTAACACTTCCCCCAAGGGGCACCCACAAACCTCAGAAGCACACACCTAGTCAGAGCTAGCCACACCCACTTATTTTTAGAAGGCTCCGATGCCTCCATGTTGCATGTTTCTGCCCATGTGGTCAGGGGATTTACAGGAACTCACACTATATCACGGCTACGTGGCCCTCAGGATCAGGCCCCAAGAGCTGACATTGATACCCATGCAGTGTTACACCTGACACGGAGCTGTGTCTGGGATTTTCACAATAAAATAGATCCCCTCTGGATCATTAATCTAAAGGGGGCTGATATGGAAGAGAATGGGTAATAAGCCAACACCCCGTCAGCTGACCAGGGCAGAGGATGGGAAAGGATTTCCATGAAGCTGAGAACATGACTCTTCATAGTCTCCTAACTACGCCAGTCTCTCTCGGTTTTCCAAATGAAAGAAGACTTGGAGACTACTGAATGTCAGTAGCAATTTAAAAAACTAATTTTGAAATCCAATCTTTTTTTTTCTTCAACTAGTGTATTTTTATCACAGACATGCCCCTACCTCAGACACCTTGAGCATGAAGCGCTGGACAGGAACATAAATGTAATACACACGGCACTTCCCATCCCTCTGCTCAGTGGGTGGGGAAACCAAAATTCCAAACGTCATCCGCTGTTCCAATGCACAGATTGAGTCACTGAGCAGACCATGCTTGTCACCTTTGCGGCTCACCATGGTCCCCAGTCAGCATCAAATTCCAATCCAAAGTGCATCTTGTCCTGGAAAAAAAAAAATTCCATTAACCAGACATTCAGGGATGGAGGGGAGATGATCTTTGGGTTAAGTAACAAATCACTTTTGTTGACGAAAATGCACCCACTAAAAACCGATTCTATTTCTACTTTGTGCATGCCTAGGAGCCTCATGTGACTATAGAAGCTTGATCATTGTTTACCAGTGGATGACAAGATAGAAATGGGCTGCATTTTCTTAACTTTGAAGTATAATGTTATGAAATGTGGACAATATTGGTAGTGATTAAGATAAAATTAGTACTGTTTGGGTATGATAACCAGGAACTGAAAATGAGACAAACCCGCTTCCATCAGCCCTGTTCTTTCCCTGCATGCGCTGGAGAAACCCCACAAACAAGGACCCCCTTGCAACTAAAGGTTTGTTGAGGGTCATAGATGACAAGAAAGTTTTCCCTCTTGAGACTTGGGGAGCCATGACATGCCCATGGGGAGAAGTTGCATCTACACAAAGGACCATAGCCTCACTCACAGCTCAGACCCATAACCACAGAAGCAGTAGAGCCTGGTACATGCATGAATATAAACCTTTTGGAGTAGTAATGCCCACTGGTGAGCATGTAGGAGACATGTGCATCATGGTGAGTGACATGGGCAATGTGTTCATAAAATCAGTGCACACACTCAGCTTAAGACTGTGCCAGGGCCTCATCAGCAGGGGCCCAGAATGGGAAAGCCACTGAGCACAAATCCTGGTGACTAATGTCTACCTGTCTGACTTTGACTTCAAGAAGAACATGGATCTGAGTCCAGCTTGCCTGGAGTTCTGGCAGGTATGTTCTCCACTCTGGAAGAACAGCCATGATGAACTTGGCCTTCTAGGCGAGCGCTCAGGCTAATCAGAAACCCACTGTTCCAGTCTGGCCTCACAGTCCTCATCATGAGGGGAAAAGATCGACGCAAGAGAGAAAAAAGTTGAAATCACCGACACTGACGCATGAAATCAATCTCTGGGGATGCCAGTTAGTTTATTCTTACCTATCTGCATTTTTAAATTTGCAAAAATAAAGTATTTGCACAAATACAACCAAGCCAGTAAGTTGTAGAGTGACCCAGGATCATTTGCTAACCACACACAGCCTTTTAAATGTCAACTAAGCAAGCATGGCCTTCTCCATGTCTTTCTTGACTGGAGCCTGCTCTGGACAGTGGGACCATCTACCAGTGTGTGGAATGGCACAGATTTTCAAATATCTCCCAGAGGTTCAGCGCCATACTGCTTGGGTAAGGGCCTGTGAAGATTCACATTTGCTAGATGATGCCTTCCATCTCTAGAACCTGCTCTACAAGTTTAATCAACATGGCCTGTTTTCTTTGGAGATCATCATCCTGCAGAAAGGACAAAAACCTGTAGCTCCATTCCACACTCATCTACACATTCCTTCAGAAAGGACAAAAGCCTATGGTTCCATTCCATACTCATCTACACATTCCTTCAATCTTCTCTATGTCCTTCTCTGCTCTCATACAGTTTTGCAGTTTCTGCCAGAAATGAGTGGTTACCCTTGACTCAACAATGTGGCTTACTGTGTGCTAGGGAAAGTTAGATTTAAAAGATGAAATTTTAGGATTACCCTGTACATAGAGATACTTTAACATGGAATCATGGGATACAATGACAATTGTCTAAGAGGGAAGATTTCAGCCCCAACATTAAAAAATTGAGAGAGTGCAAATAAATAAATTAATGATGCACCTTAGGGGTTTGGAAAAACAAAAACAAGCCAAACTCAAAGTCAGCAAACAAAAAGAAATAAGAACAGGGAAGAAATTAGTAAAGTGGAAATAAGAAAAACAGTACAAAAAGTCAGTGAAACAGAGTTGGATCTTTGCAAATATATATATATATATATATATATATATATATATATATATTTGAAATATATATATTAAAACACACACACAGACACTTAACCAAACTAACCAAAAGAAAAAAGACTCAAATTAATAAAACTAGAGGTGGAAAAGAGTCATTTCAATTGATAACAGTAAAATTCAGAAAATCATCGTAAAAACAGAAAATCCATTACACTGGAAAATCTAGAAGAAATGGATAAATCTCTAGATGCATGTGGTCTACCAAAATTAAGCTGAGATGAGGTGAATATTTAGGCAGATCTATAATAAATAGTGAGATTGATTTGGTAATGAAAATATTCTCCAGATCAAGAAATGCTCAATCCCAGATGGATTCACTGGTGAATTCTACCAGACTTCCAAAAAAGAATACCAATGCTTCCCAAACTAGCTCACTAAAAAGGAAAGAAAGGGATACTACTAAATTCTTTCACAAAACCAGCATTATGGTTAGATCAAAACCAAATAAGGATAAAACAAGAAAATAATGGACCAGTGTCCCTTGATGAATGTAGATGCAAAAATTTCCAACAAAATATTGACCAACCAAATTTAAGAAAATATAAAAAAAAAATTCATCACAATCCAATGGGCTTCATTCCAGGGATGCAAAGATAGCTCAACATAAAAGAAATCAATAAACATACACATAAATGTGCTTAAGGATAGAAATTACGTGGTCATCTCCACAGAAGCAGGACAATTTCCAACATCCTTTGAGGATAAAAATCCTGAAGGAACTCGGGACAGAAGAAACATCATTAGAATAAAGTCAATATACTACACACCTATAGCTAGCATTATACTTAATGAGGGTAAAATGCAGTGTTTCCCCTGAACCTGGGACTCAGGCAAGGGTGCCCACTTTCTCCACTGTCACTCACTACAGCCCTCAAAGGCTCAGCTTGAGCAGGAAGACAAGAGTAACAAGTCAAAGGGTACAAATGGGAAAGGAAGGCATCAAAGCATCCTCGTTTGCATACTATATGATTCCATACATAAAGACCCTGAAGTCTCCATTAAAAAAAACCATTAGTGTTAATTATCTATTAAATAATCATTTTATAAGCAATTATTTAAAGGTCATGTAACACATTTAATTTCCTATGTTTCTGAGTGCAGAAACTACATGTCTGAACTTTAGGCATCATACAAAAGTTTACAGAGTTCAAGGTGTGTTAGTGTACATGCCACATGGCCAGTCTGTGCTCCCTTTCATACAAAATGTCATAATCATCAATGAAACTCTGACATTTCTGCTATTTTTAACTCATAGCATTTACAGGGGAGACCTGCCAGTTGGACGGTCCTGCTGTGTGGAGCCCACCCTGGTCTAGCTCGGTCTTCCTTGAAGAAATGAGCAGTTTCTTACTGGGCATGAGATGTACTGGGACTTCAGCAAACAGGCATGTATGTGGTCTGCAGTACTCGGGACTGCAAAACGTCTAACAACAGTGTTGTAGGCCTGCTGACCTCCTTTATGCTTCAGAAGTGGGTGAATTAATAAATAAGAGATTTCTGTGTGACGATGAAAATTGGCACTGGCTCCTTTACACTAATGCAGTTATGGTCCTGTTGTAATATGTAAGCCTTAGAAGACACAAAGCAGGAGTGTTTTAGCAAGTTAGTGTCCTCCAAACTCAACTGTCAATTATACTATCGGAGACAGTACAAAACACAAGGCTGTTATAGGGAGAGTGAAGGGACCCCCCCCCCCCTTTGAAGTCCAGATGAAGCCTCTCACCAGCTGAAGATGGAACACTTCTAGTATAATTCACATTTGCTGTGAATGTTGCCGACATGGGGATATTTGTTTACTCATACAATATTTTTTATCATTTCTTTTGAGAATTTCATAGAACATGTTTTCATCTTATTCCACCTCCACTCTGCCCTGTAACTCTTCCCAGAGCATCCCCACCTTCCCACCTTCTCTCTCTCTCTCTCTCTTAAAATGACCAACTGAGACCAGTCTGTGCTGCTACTCACGGGTGGTGGTGGGGGTCATCTACTAGGCTAGGACTGACCTTCTGGAATCTACACCTTTAACACAAACTGACTCTCTTTCCACCAGAAGTTATTACCATCAATAGCTCCTTCATCAGGAGAGAAGGCTCATGAGCCCCTCCACACTCCATGCTTGAATATGGACTGGCTTGATCCTGTGCAAGTCTTGTGTGGGCAACCACAGCTGCTGTTAATCCATGAGAACAGAACTCCGGTCATGTCTAGGAGACATTATTTCACTCCAGTCCTCCCCAACCTCCCCTCTTCCAAATGGTCCCTGAGTCTTGAGTGTGACGGTGATTACAGAGGTCCCACTTGTGCCTGAGCACTCTAGTGATGCTTATTCTCTGCACTTTGACCAGTTTTGAGTTTCTGCATTAACCGCCATCCACTACATAGTGATGTATTTCGGATAAGGTCTGAGAGCTCCACCAATCTATGGGTATAGAAATATGAATTTAGAAGGTAGTCTTATACTATGTCTGTAGCTGGAGTTTTCTCCAGTCCTGTCCAGCCCCATGGACCCCACAACCGCTTATAAAATAATCACTCAGAAGCTCATATTAATTAAACTGCTCGGCCATTAGCTCAGGCCTACCACTGTCTAGCTCTTACACTTAAACTCAGCCCATTTCTATTCATCTATACCTTGCCACATGGCTTGTGGCTTACTGGTAACTTACATCTTGCTACTCACCAAGGTGGCTGGCAACATCCCCTGTCTCAGCCTTCTTCTACCCAGCATTCTCCTCTCTCCTTGTCCCATCTACACTATTCTTCCTGCCTGGTTACTGGCCAATCAGCGTTTTTATTTATCAATCAATCATAGCAACATATATTTACAGCATACAGGACATCCCACATCATATGTCCATTTAACAGAACAACAGTGAACTCCCTGACCATGTGTTCTTGGCCTGGTGTCTTTATAGCTGTTGCTGCCTTTTAAGCAATGGCTGCCCTAATCATCAACTGTAACTCCGCTGCTACCAGCAGCGGTTCGGGCCCAAGGCATGCAACCTGGGGGGATTCTGTTCCCTCAAGCACCGACTCTTTCAAAGCTAAGAAGGGAACTTATCTAAATCTCCGTCCCTCTAAAGAAC